ATGATGTCCGTAAATCCATCCCAAAAACATTGGAGACAGCCTTTCAGGAAGAGGTTTCTAGCCCTCGCACTGACACAAAGTCAGTGCACACCAGTCAGAGCAAAGAGATGACAACTTGTGATACTGCAGTATAAGGCTGTCCGTGACATGACGAAACAAATACTGAAACTGTACATAGCAAATAATTTTGATACACATGTACATGTATACATCAAAATACTTCTTTTGCTTTTGTTTTGTTCGTAGAAGGACCTTCAATCTGAGCTGTAAACATCTCAGATTGAAGTATTTCAACCTGACTTTAGTTTGATGTAGTTTTACTGTATGGTTGGCTAACTGGTAGCAAAGAGTACAGCCTTTACACTGTATACCCAGAGCTCGCAGTCTGATAGAAGAAACTGGTGGTACATTAAGTTGTGATGCCTTTTGTGAGCTTTTGTGAGCTAAACCTTTGTTTGATAATATTTTAAACATTGTTAGTTTTCTTTTGTGTGTGTGTGTGTGTGTGTGTGTGTGGATATGTCTGATATGTCAGTGAACACATATTGTGCCATAATCAGAGAATTGTAATGTATAATATTCCTTGTTTTTCTACAGATGTTCACTGTCTATTAATCTGCCCTTTTTGTTTTGCTTATTAAAAAGTTCCTTATTGCATCACTTTGAGTCAAGTCAATTTTGTTTATATTGCCCATTATTACAAATTTGTCTCATGGGACTTTACAATCTGTAAAGTTTACGACATCCTACTTATGACCCTCTCTTTAAGTAGGTAACAAGCTTTGAATGAACCTGTTTCTTAGACCATATCTGTATAATAATACCAATATAAAAGATCCCAAGATGGCGCCTATTCAGTCCTATGGAATTGCACTTGGCACATACCCCAGAAAAGTTTCTAGCTCTATGTGGTATGTGGCCCACTGAATACGTAGCGTCTCTCCCACTGGCCTCATATGTGAGTTCCAGCTCGGCTCATAGACTTTACATTGTGATGACGACATGGATTTTTAACTTGCTTTTCCTGGCTTAAGTAAAGTTTTGTGAATATAAAACCTCCATGAATCAAAAATTAATATCAGAAAGAATCCTAACAGACCTTGTTTGCAGTTTAAGGTTTCCTGTCAACAATTTAACAAACGTTTCTTTTGTAATGATGGTCTATGGTGAAAATGCCTTTTGCAATACAGTGAGTGGCCACTGGGAAAAAGTTTATTGGGGCCTGTTTTAGAGTTGGGCTGAATTTTAGCTGCGCCATGCATTGTTTTGCCCAGAAGTGTACAGGGGGGAGCGAGGCCTGATCATAGCCCGATCAGCTGCTCCTGAGTGATAGCGGTGGAAATGAACTCCATGACTGTGCTTTATTTAGCCAAGAGGTGAGATGTACTGAGCGATGAGTAGGAGGCTGGGAACAAAGCCCTGAGGTACTCCATATTTCAAGACATGTTATTATCATTGGAGAATTTTAGTGGCCTGTACACGTGACAGCATGGTGATACAGCTATAATTTCCTCTTAATAATTCTCAAACTGGCAACTTTGACATTGGCTGTGGGGTCCCACAATGCTCAGTTTTAGGTCCTTGTTATTAAACCTACAGTACAGGCCAAAAGTTTGGACACACCTTCTCATTCAATGCGTTTTCTTTATTTTCATGACTATTTACATTGTAGATTCTCACTGAAGGCATCAATACTATGAATGAACACATGTGGAGTTATGTACTTAACAAAAAAAGGTGAAATAACTGAAAACATGTTTTATATTCTAGTTTCTTCAAAATAGCCACCCTTTGCTCTGATTACTGCTTTGCACACTCTTGGCATTCTCTCCATGAGCTTCAAGAGGTAGTCACCTGAAATGGTTTCCACTTCACAGGTGTGCCTTATCAGGGTTAATTAGTGGAATTTCTTGCTTTATCAATGGGGTTGGGACCATCAGTTGTGTTGTGCAGAAGTCAGGTTAATACACAGCCGACAGCCCTATTGGACAACTGTTAAAATTCATATTATGGCAAGAACCAATCAGCTAACTAAAGAAAAACGAGTGGCCATCATTACTTTAAGAAATGAAGGTCAGTCAGTCCGGAAAATTGCAAAAACTTTAAATGTGTCCCCAAGTGGAGTCGCAAAAACCATCAAGCGCTACAACGAAACTGGCACACATGAGGACCGACCCAGGAAAGGAAGACCAAGAGTCACCTCTGCTTCTGAGGATAAGTTCATCCGAGTCACCAGCCTCAGAAATGGCAAGTTAACAGCAGCTCAGATCAGAGACCAGATGAATGCCACACAGAGTTCTAGCAGGAGACCCATCTCTAGAACAACTGTTAAGAGGAGACTGCGCCAATCAGGCCTTCATGGTCAAATAGCTGCTAGGAAACCACTGCTAAGGAGAGGCAACAAGCAGAAGAGATTTGTTTGGGCCAAGAAACACAAGGAATGGACATTAGACCAGTGGAAATCTGTGCTTTGGTCTGATGAGTCCAAATTTGAGATCTTTGGTTCCAACTGCCGTGTCTTTGTGAGACGCAGAAAAGGTGAACGGATGGATTCCACATGCCTGGTTCCCACTGTGAAGCATGGAGGAGGAGGTGTGATGGTGCTGGGGTGTTTTGCTGGTGACACTGTTGGGGATTTATTCAAAATTGAAGGCACACTGAACCAGCATGGCTACCACAGCATCCTGCAGCGACATGCCATCCCATCCGGTTTGCGTTTAGTTGGACGATCATTTATTTTTCAACAGGACAATGACCCCAAACACACCTCCAGGCTGTGTAAGGGCTATTTGACCAAGAAGGAGAGTGATGGAGTGCTGCGGCAGATGACCTGGCCTCCACAGTCACCGGACCTGAACCCAATCCAGATGGTTTGGGGTGAGCTGGACCGCAGAGTGAAGGCAAAGGGGCCAACAAGTGCTAAACACCTCTGGGAACTCCTTCAAGACTGTTGGAAAACCATTTCAGGTGACTACCTCTTGAAGCTCATGGAGAGAATGCCAAGAGTGTGCAAAGCAGTAATCAGAGCAAAGGGTGGCTATTTTGAAGAAACTAGAATATAAAACATGTTTTCAGTTATTTCACCTTTTTTTGTTAAGTACATAACTCCACATGTGTTCATTCATAGTTTTGATGCCTTCAGTGAGAATCTACAATGTAAATAGTCATGAAAATAAAGAAAACGCATTGAATGAGAAGGTGTGTCCAAACTTTTGGCCTGTACTGTATATATGCTGCCACATAGCTCCATCATACAGGCATACAATGTGGTTAACCATTATTATATGCTGATGATACCCAGTTATATATTTCACTTTGACATGATAATCTCAGCCCTATGAATGACCTTGTTAACTGTATCAGTGATATTTAATCAGATTAATTAGCTCATTACCAAAGTTAATTTCAACATTTCCTTTTAAAGGAAGTAGATTGTCATTTATCATGCATAATGCAGTAAGGTTAGTTTGAGAAGTTGATGTTATTTTGTTTCCCTGTTGTAATTGCGCTTAAAATAGATATATATATTACATAAAATTGAGTTTAGATTTTGTATGATTTTTTGGGGGCTTTTTTTTCACACAATGCCACATTAACTGTCTGATGTAATTGCCAAGTAAACTTTCTCCTGTCATTGCTTACACTTTATTTTGCATCCTCAACAAGCTTCCAACTTTTCTAACTATTTCTTCAGCTGCTTCTTCATACAAAGTTAAGCCAGCATTATTTGATGTTTTTGAGTAATACTAAAATGGTGTCAGGATTGTTTGTTGAAACTCTTTGCGCTTGCTCAAACATATTTCTCCATTTATGAGCAATAGCCATGTGCAATGGCATGATGGTAAAAAAAAACAGGATGCTGACAGACCGTAGACTATTTGTATGTTGTTAGTGAATTAAGAAGCTCATATCAACAAAGAAACATTTTTGTTTTGAAAAATGAGAAACATTTTTTACTCAAATACATGAATAGTCTAAATGTAAGTGTACACACAAGATGCAAAAGGAAAAGAAAGGAAAGAAAAACGAGTTTTATGTGTGCCCCCTGTGGCTCCACCTCAACGTGGGTGGTGACGTGACATAACTGCCCACAGATTAGCCTGCTTTTATCTCTCAGTTTCATTACTTTTCCCACATATTTATCCTTAGCCAGTTGGAGAGCTTTGAGAAAGGTATGTAACCTTTGTTATTCTTAGAGTTTGATATTTCTTATGTGAGATTAATCCATCAAGGTTTTGGGTCCATAATGATTTTTTAAAAAGAAAACACAATTTGTCAAATTTAAAAGCTTTTGTTCATCAAATTGCATTCTACTATTACGCATTTGTCAGACAACTTGGTGAAGTGAAGGCAGCAACTTATCAATATATGACACCGTGATAGTTCAGAACTATCTGAACAAACATCTTTCTGCAGCCCAGAGGAAGCCGCTTGCTGCTGCAAGCCAAGCTTGAGTTGTAGTTTATCAACAAGGTCTCCTACATACTAATTAAATATATTTCTCAACAAGCACATGATTAGATATTTGTATTTATATTGACCTGGCCAATCTCATGTATTATTGTTATTGTTGTCATTAGATCTGGAGAAGTGCATGAATTTTGTTTTATATTCCAGAGCTGCAAATTACTTTCATCACTTTGCTCATTCAAATAATTTTTTTAGTTCATTTCAAACAGTTGTCCTCACTTATGGATTCAAAATGTGCTGAAAATTAAGTATTAATTTAAGATTAATGAGTGCAACTTTCAGTGCATTAAATTAGAGACAGTAACACTCTAGATGAAGAAAAAATAATAATAATAACGCTTGCTTCAACTATGTTTGATTTTGTTAAACTTTAAATCAAGACTTGCAGAACTTAGAAACATTTTTTCAAAAACTTGGCAAGATAAATCTGTGATGTGAAAAATTATTCAGCAGAGGGGCATATATAGGATAGAATGGTAAAAAAGTAATACTGTATATTGCTTCTTCATGTTGCCTTTGCAGGTCTGAGGACAATGATGGAAAAGAACACTCCCCCTTCCTATCACATCAATACAACAGATGTGTCTGGAAAAAATGGCTCTAATTCTATCAACAAGTATGCTGAGCTGGGAAGCTCTCTCCACACTATGTCTCTCATTGTTTACTGCCTGGCCTTTGTTCTTGGTGTGCTCGGGAATGGAGTGGTTATCTGGGTGACCGGATTCAAGATGAAGAAAACAGTGAACACAGTTTGGTTCCTCAACCTCGCTGTGGCCGACTTCCTCTTCACAGCGTTTCTGCCCCTGAATGTGGCGTACCTGGTTTTGGATTTCCAAGGTTCTTTTGGTGAGTTCATATGCAAACTGAACAGCACATTAATCTCCCTGAACATGTTTGCCAGTGTCTACATTCTGATGGTGATCAGTGTGGACAGATATGTATCTGTGGTGTGGCCCATCTGGACCCAGATCCATCGAAATGTACACAAGGCATCGTTTGTCAGTCTGGGTGTTTGGATACTGGCTCTGATTCTCAGCACTCCATACTTCATCTTCAGGGACACTGAACCTTCACAAAACAATAAAGACATTATCCACTGCTTATACAGCCTTTTCCTCTGTAAAGATGATGAAACACTGTCTGTGAATCAGCTGCGACAGTTTCGTCATCAGGCCTTGACCATCACCCGCTTCCTAATGGGATTTGTTGTCCCCTTCACTGTCATTGTCTCCTGCTATGCTGTGGTAATCCATCGAATCAGAGAACACCCCATCCTGGCCAGGCAGTCAAATCGCCCCTTTAAGATCATCGCTGCAGTTATCACCACTTTTTTCCTGTGCTGGGCTCCCTTTCACATCATGGCTTTAATTGAGTTAGTAAACTTCATATCTGCTTATCAAAGTGAAACATTATTCAATGTCACCACTATTGGGATCCCACTAACCACCGGCATGGCCTATATCAACAGCTGCTTGAACCCAGTGCTGTATGTGTTCATGGCCCAAGATTTCAAGGATAAAGTCCGCAAATCCATCATGAAAATATTAGAGACTGCATTTCAGGAAGAGGTTTCTGGCTCTCAAACTGACGCAAAGTCAGCGGACACCAGTCAGAGCAAAGAGACATCAGCTCATAATACTGCAGTATAAGACAGTCCATGACGTGAAAAAACAAATATTTAAACCATGCAACTACAGCCTGAGTATTTACAATCTCATGGAATTAGTCGATGGTTATATTAGACAATAAACTGTAATGCCTTTTGTGAGCTAAACCTTTGTTGGATAAGGTGGTAGTGGGATGTTTTTAATCATACAGAACAAATGGCCACAAGAGATCTGCACAGTGCTGTTGTTATTTGCTCCTTGAATTACAACAGTGCCTTCAGTCTGTACCATAACAGAGCTAAAGATGATTGTAAAATGTCATTTCCTAAACAAAAGGACTCAGCAGCTATTTCAAAATAGGTATTACGTGAGTTTAAGTTCAAATTTGTGTAACACAAGCTACAAAAATAGGGTTTTGTTGACAACGGGAGCTTTGTGTTTTTTTCCATCTGTCCCTTGCACAACAGATTTCAGTCACCATTTCCTTGCTTGTATGTGACAGCAAAGAAAACACGCAAACAGTACAAGCCCCATGTTATTTATATCTGTTCCAACTGTGAACAGATATAAAGATAGATCTTGTATTTTAATATTGGCACTATTTTTCATTTGGAGCTGAACTGTTAGTGTACGGAGCACCTGGAGCCCGTCAATCTACATTTTGTGTACCAATACCATGAGAAGTTAAGATGGACTGCTGGTTGATGAACATAATTGTTTTAATGTTTTGTGAGAGGAGGCTAATATATTCTAATCAGTCAATATGGAAGTCACTATGCACTTACAGTTTATGTTTATAATGTGGCATTCTTATAGTTTCCTTGTCTTAGGTAGGTAGAAAATTGTGAGATGTAGCAACCTGTCTGTAAAAGCTTTACTTAATATATTTGATTTTGTTTTTATTTGAATCATAGTTGAATATGATGATGCAATTTTTTCTTGTTCTAATTATTTTCCATTAAAAAAATGTACTTTGACTTCACTGTTTTCTGTCTGTGATGTTTATAATCACATCATAATGTCACAAAAGACTATTGGTGTGTCTCAAATCACATACTTCTGTTAGTACACTTCTATGTAGAATACAATGTGCACTATGTAGTCATTGGCGTAGTGCTCGAATTTCGACAGGGTAGTGTTGTCTCAAACCAAACACGGCCGTTGTGCACTCACCGGAAATGATGACCGCAAATTAGCTAGTTAGCAAACAAGCATTCGCATTATCATTTGTGGTACCAAATCATTACAGACTGCTAAATTAACCCAATAAATATACTGCTGGCTTATACCTGTCAACAGTATAGTGGTGATTAGTGCAAAAAACACATGTATTTGTACAATGTTCACGGTCGCACAGTCCTCAGACGCTATTTCTAGTTTGAAAAGTGGTCCCTCCCCTTTCGCTGCGTAGCCAAGATGGCGACCATTGAGGGTGAGAAGTTTCCATAGTTCCACACTCAACTTCTTGACCGTTTTGAGTGCACCATCCAGGTGCTCATAGTGCACTGCATTTTCTGTACTTCTCAGGGTGAAAGGACTTATGCACTCAAAATATTAAGTCTAAGTACAGAAGTAGGCGACAAAGCATTTGCCTGAAATCTCTTTCTCCAGTATTATGATGCATACTTTAGATACATGCAGTGTTGGGGAAACTACTTTGAAAGCAATGCTTTGCAAGCTGCTGATTAGTTTATCTTGAAAGAAGTTGATCTACAGCAAATCTAGTTTGGTTACAAAACAAATTGACAATGTATTTGTGATACAGTTTTCTAGCAAATTATTATGCAAAAAGCCACACACCAGCATAAATTGCCACTCTACTGAGTTAGTTTCAAAAAGCGCCCACTTGTTCACAGGTCATAAAACAAAAAAGTAAAATACATCAGGAAGCTGTCTGACTGACTGTGTGACACACATTTGACATTTAACCTGGCGAATTGTGAGTTCACTGAGGCTACTTTCACCTCCCTTGGTATGGTAGTGGGGCAGGGGCAGGTAAGGCCGGTACAGGCAAAGGTGGCCGCCATTCAGCAGTATCCAGTGCCCATAACCAAGATGGCGCTCATGTGGTTTTTAGAGCTGGTGGGGTATTATCTCAGTTTCTGTCTGAATTTTTCAACTGTGGTAGCTCCCCTGACAGATCTGTTGGAAGCTAGAGCACATTAGTGCATTAATGTACATTTAGTCAGAGTCGCAAGCAAGCTTTTGAAATTTTATATCTGTGTTGTGCTCTCCTCCTCCTGTCCTTATAGCGCCTTGCATGGATCTTCTATTCGAGCTACAGGTGGATGCCAGCGATGCAGGTGCAGGGGCTATGTTGCCTCAGTCTGATGAAAACTGTTGAGCATTCTGTGAATTTTCTCTCTAGGAAATTTAATTCGTAGCAGTTATATTTTTCTGTCATACAGAAGGAGACTCTTGCTCTTGTGGGGGCAACAATTTGGAGTTTAAGTTGACTCTGGTGTTCCTCTTGTTGTCTGCACAGACCATAACCCACTGACATTCTTTCACTCCTTGTGTTGCGCAAACCACCAATTAATGCGTTGGTTCCTCTTTTTGCAATCATACTAAGCTCGTAAACTGGTTGTAAAACAAGGAAATAATGATTAAAAGTAAATTGTACATAACCTACAGCTGAATAGCACCCTGTTACATTGTATACAGTAGTCGTAATCATTGTTGTTTGGTCATCTGTCGGGATTCACTAAAGGAACACAGTTTTTATGTGTGTGTGTGTGTGTGGGGGGGGGGGGCAGACTCCCATGCACTACATGGCTGTGTTGCTGGTGCTTCATCTTTTGTGTTGCAAGAGCTGAGAGGATGGCGTCAACTGATTGGGCCACAAGTGAACCTGGTGTGTGTGTGTGCTGGGGTAAATACCCCCTCCTTTGTCAGTATCACTCTGTCACGATCTGAGGACTGTGCCTGTTTTTTGTCTCTGTTATTCACATACACTGACACACATTCACACATGCTTTCATTACTGACTTACTGATGGTATACGTTGTATTATTAAATTCATGTTTTTGTTAATAAGGTATTATTCTTGGCAGCCAGCTCGTTTTGTCTCCTGTTTTTATCACAGCTTTTGAGCCAGGCTGTGACACAATTCTTGGAAAGTGCAAGGAATGTCACCTTTGGTTTTGTATACAATGTCCATCAGTCAGACACCTGCTTTCCAGAAACTAAAGACCAGGTGGGGGTACTGCACAGGTGATGCCTGCAGAGGTGGTTTACCAGCCGTCTCTTGGATGCCAAGAAGCACGAGCAACACTTGGTTCCCATTCCGCCCTCAGCACAAGACAACCTGACAAACTGAGAGTTCCCACAACACCTGTTGCAAGGAACACTACTGGGACAAGTGATCTCCCACATTGCGGTGCTCACAGAAGCATCCCTGAAAGGGTAGGGAGGGACCTGCCCGGGTAGAGCAGTAGGTGGCACGTGGCCTATAATGGACGTCCAACACATCAACCTCACCTCCTCAGTGACAGCTTACCGTCTCCGAACCATCGTTGGAAACGTGTTGGCTTATTAATATAAATTTTAGCTTGGGTCATTATTAGGTGGTAACCAGCTTCTAGCAGTGTGGACCACTCTGCAGAAGGAAGAATGGCAAGGCGTTCGGGTGTTGTTCACCAACAGTGGCTTTATTGCAGTCTTCACCACAAAACAATAAACACAGCCTTCTCATGAGGTTAAAACCTAGCCCTGAGCTCATCTACACACTTTATTCTGCTGACTATTATCACTCTTTGCCACCTGCCATCTTCACCATGACACCCCAAGACAGCCACTTCCCTTCATATACACAAAGCACACGTCACACCCTGTGCATTCACACCGGGCGTGAGTGAAGCGAATTACTCGCGCGTAAGGCACTTAACGAGTGCGAGTTTGGACGCTAGACCATTTTGTTAATTCGCGTTATCGCGTCATTCGCACGAGTAGCGGGGAAGCCGGCTGTCCTAACTGGAGTTAAGCTAGTGCTAACATTCATAGTACAACCATTCTGCAAACTAATTAAAGACACATATTTACAGAACTTACCAAGTAGACCAGTCTCCTCGGCGACTTTCACCCAAGCCTGCTCCTTTTTGTTGCGGTCTCTGTAGAGTAGACACGTAATATCATATAGCTCCGGGTAGCCGCACACCGCAGTGATAAGTTTCTCCTCCATCTCGGCATCAACAACTGGACGTCAGGTCATCAAGATGTCAGTGACGACCATGGCTGAGATAACCACCAACGCTGCTTTGTACCTGCTCTGGAAGTCCCAGATGCGTCGGAGGGCCAAACGTCGTCATTTTTGGGTTCACCCTATCCTGCAGAAGTGCATCCAACTCGGCAAGTTTCACCACCTCCTCCAGGAACTCAGTCTGGATGATAGCCGCTTTCAGCGGTACTTCAGGCTGACTGGGGCCCAGTTTGAGGACCTGTTGGCGAGGGTTGGCGCCACGATCTCCCGGCAGGACACCAACTACAGGCGCTCCATTTCAGCTGCGGAGCACCTGTCTATCTGTCTCCGGTGAGTAGCAGTTTATTGTTGTGTCAACAACTGGACGTCAGGCCGTCAAGACGTCACTGGCATCGGGAGAATCTCAACGCTGATTGGCTTTCGTGGCTCAGCATCACGCGAATTCGCCTCAAAAGTTCAATATTTTCAACTTGAGCGATGAGGCGATGGACGCGAATTTCGCGGATATTGCGCCGCGCCTACGCGTCTATTGCGTCCATCGCGTCGCACTAGACGTGTCTTTGCATTGACTTTGTACGTCATCTCGACGCTCGGTGTGAAAGCAGAGTTACAGGTTACCCACAAGGCCAACGCCCGTAAAGGGTACAAAGGGTGAGCTGGTAACACTTGGTTGCTTTGTGGCTGATAAAATAATTTGCGAACCAGCCCCGGGGGTTTAAATGAATTAGCCGACGCTATCTACTAAAGACAGTATTTTTTGCTAGCCAGCAATACGTCCGTGTTACAAAGCAAGCCAACCTCAGCTAACATTAGCCAGCTGAAACCACAATATCACAATATATTTCACATGCTAGTGTTTCCTCTAGCATTTAATTTGTGATATGAGGCACTGAATTTGATGTATTTACTGTTTATCAAACCCCAAATGAGACAAAATTTAGGTAGACGACGGCAGCTCCGGACCTTCAGTCAGGGTCTGTAACAGCTCAAATTAAGCCAGTGCAAACCTCAACAGTAAGTGAAGGTCCCTCCCCGGGCTGCAGCTGCAAAAATTTTATAACAGAAACACAGCATGTGTGGGCTCTGTGTTGTGGTGGGTGTTGGTCGTTTGTTGACATTGGCGGACTCCATCTCTTAGCTTATGTTACTGTTGCACACTGTGGCTGAGCTGAAAAGTGATGCAGCACATTGTTGGGAGAAGTTTGCCCCGAGGGCTTTCTGGGTTACTGAAGGTTATATTTCATCCCATTGTTTGGGAAATTAGACCCAGGTCCTAAACATTGAAGCTAATCCACAGGCTGCAGGCGACGGGGTAGAGAGTCGGGGTAGGTCTCAGTTCTTAAGTTATGTAACAATCCATTCACCCATTAGCAATAAAAAAGGATAAAGACATGAAAAATGTAACAGTACCTTAAACATATATCTCAGAGTCCTGTCTCATATTTATTACTGATTAAAATGGGTTTTTTTTTTGCAGATTTAATGTGATAAAATTACCAGTTTAATTAGCCTACTCACCAGAACTGGATACGCAATATACTTTTTGTTGTTGATGATCTTTATTATCATTGTTGTAGTCTGTCTTGATAAAATTAACAGAGGGAAGTGTTTTACATTTAAGTGTAGGCCAGGTCAAACAGAGATTCTCCATGCAATGTCCTGTAATGTGCAGAATTTGCAGAATCAGGTGCTTCTCAGACCGAGGACAGCAAACTTTTTGTGCTTTTAAAGGCTGGAAATTAATTTGAAATTAAAATAATAAAGTGTGCGGCAGTGCATTCTAGTTAGCAAAGTGGGTACCTCATTAGTCAGTTATGATTTTATTTGAATATTTCGAGAACAACTCAGTTACTGCCAATAGCTTTTCACACCCTGAATAGATAGTGTTCTGATAATCTCAGTTAGGTAACCTTTACAATAGATGTGTTGGTCTTATTAGTGGAACTGTTTGGACAGTTTGGGGGGAAACTAATGAAAATATTTAGATCCTCCTGTACAATTTAACAATGTAATCTTTAATGTGAAAAGTATTATTTAAATCCTCTGTCACCGTTAAATAAAAAAGAAGAGCCATTCAAAACTGTGAGTGAATTGTGCGAACATTTTAGCCAAGGCCATACTGTTGTGTAATTTGATTTGTTTGCCTGATATAAACTATCAGTCTTGTTTGGAGGGAAGGTTTTGTGCTTGACTAAACTTATGAGTAGTTTCTAAAGATATGTGTGTTTCTAAGTTTCAGAGGAAATAAGATAAACGGAGATGCTGACAGGAAGAAACTGTTCATAACCTAGACTTGTGAAATTCCCCTAATGCTTCTATTGATTCTAATAATTTCTCAGATATGCATATATTCTTACCTCAGATCTCTTTTGCTTGCAGGGATGGATTAACATTGGAAACGGTTATGTGAAGGGTAGCAAAAAGAGAGTGTCAAACTGCTTGGCAGCCCTCAATTAATGGGAAGTGCTGCAAATTCAAACAAGTTCAAACAGTAACATGGTGCAATTACACTCCACATCAAGCAAGTATAATCCACATCAATCCATGGTTGTCTAACAACCCATAATTTTAAGCATTGAAATTGTTTGGTTACTTGTTAATTTCTCTTTTAGGGATTCCCAAAGGACGGAGGCTCTACTGTGTGCTGTTTGAAAAAGGCAGAAAACTCAGAGCAAGAAATGTACTGTAATATATCTTGAAGCAAAGCAGCACTTACATTAGTTAGACATGGCGCAGGACTGAAGCTGACATTGGGGACACCGATGCCCTCAGTATTATCTCTGGAAATTTGAGGGCTGTAGCATTGTGGGGCAACACATTCTCACTCCAACCTCATCACATATCGATGTTTGGTCATGGACTTTCCACATCCAGATCTGATTTGCAAGGTACCACGAGTGTGTTGGTTGCTGACGTAGTGGGACGCCGTGTCAGCTTTGGCTTGTTACTTGCATTGTCTGTTCAAAATACATAGTTTTCACAGGAAATGTAGAGATTGCATACAGTCTCTTTCAAAATTAATGCGCTATGTTGGTACAACTTCCCGAATTGACACTTTTCTCCTTCAACAACAAACACACATGGTTACGTTTAGCCAACATTAGGCATGTGGTTGGGTTTAGGAAAAATGAACAAGGTCTGGCTGTACAGTTACAGGAAGCAAACACCAGCCTCCTGGGTGAAAGCCAGTGGCTGTTGGACCCATCCACCACCCCTCCCACCTGCCCACTTTGGACTTCGGCTGCCTTATTTTTGTTCTCGTCTCGTTCTTGTGTGTCTGACGCCGCAAGTCACTGCCCAAGTGTTGGATTTCAACAACTTCGGAGTGAGATGGGATTGTGTGAAAAAGTTTACATTCTGCAATTAGAAACACACGTGTGGTATTTTATTGATATATTTCAATTAAATTACTTTAGGCAAAATAAAATAAGATAAAACTTTATTTAGGCCTAGAAGGAAAATTTGGCAAATTGTAATAAAAATGGCTGAACAGTATTTATATCAGCCATGGTGGAGAAGAGGTTGACACAGCAACACAGTATCTAGAAAATGAAGATAACTGATCAGCTGACCAAGTTAATAATCTCTAACAAAATAAAAAGCTCATTGCACTCATGACCTCAGTGTTGCTAAAATCTTGGCTACGGCTCTGCTGAATGTCTGTACATTGGCCTACACTAAAATAGATGTTACCTAAATGTAACTCCAGTTCTATGAGTTCAAACTCACCATCATATTACTTTATTCCACTGAGGCACTGCCTTGGCACCCTATGACTGATTACTCGAGGCAATTCAGGTGGTAGCGTGCACAACCAAAGCACGTGCATGTGCTGCGTGAAGAGGGCTAAGAGGAGCATGGTCTTGATGACAAAACACCCAGGCCCACATGCTCCAGGGGCTCAGAGATGGTCCGGAGAGACCACCCAAAACCATCTTCTAAAACTGAGTCATTTTCTTGTTTTGCATCTGTCCAATGTAGTTGTTGCCCCACCATTTCCCACCTACCGATTACAGATCCTTACAGTACGTGTCTAATTCACAAAATATAAATAGGCCAATTCAAGAAAGACATAAATGACAACACACAAAAGAATTAACATTACAGAAATACACTGTATAGATAACCAGCAAATATTCATAATAATAATCACTGAAGAAAGTGGATTTGCCAAACAAATGGAATTTTTCATGAGAACGTTTGAGAATACATAATTTTTTGTTTTTTATGAATCATTACGTGTTACATGTGGACCAGTCTAAATGTGACGACAACATCACTGAGTATTCTTATCAGGAGCATGCTTTCATTATCCTGTCAGAGTTTTACTAGGGTTACGGCTGCTGCAGACATATCCTCATCCAACCGGCGAACTCTGAGAAAGGTAATGTTATCAATGTAAACCGGACTTTAAATTGAAGATGAAGCTATACCATGACAAACCCCTTACCTCTGAATTATATTTTTAAAAAATGCTTTTTATTTCAGAGAACTTAATGCTTTTCCTGTTTATTTTGTTTGTTTGTTTTGGTTTTTGTTGATGGAGATGGATTCTTATAGACCTAAAGGATGTTGAGTTACTGTTAAACTGATAATTAGGTCCATATACTTCATATACTGTACAGTAGTTTATATTAGCCTTTGTTTTGTTTAAGAAGGGGAAAGTGGTTTAATGTGAATAGATTCTGATGACCCATCTTTTCCAAAACTTGTATTCATTTCATGCATGTGTGTGTGTGTGTGTGTGTGTGTGTGTGTGTGTGTGTGTGTGAAAACAAACAAGTAATTTTTTTCATGCTGTCATTGCAGCTCTAAAGACAAAAATGGAGAAAATTACTGGTACCCCTTTCTATTACATCGATGCCATTGATGTATCCGATGCAAATGACTCTCTGTATGAAGACGACGGGTATGCTGAGCTCAGAAAGTCTCTCCACTCCATGTCTCTCGTTGTTTACTGCCTGGCCTTTGTTCTTGGTGTTCCTGGGAATGGAGTGGTTATCTGGGTGACCGGGTTCAAGATGAAGAAAACAGTGAACACAGTTTGGTTCCTCAACCTCGCTGTGGCCGACTTCCTCTTCACAGCATTCCTGCCCCTGAGTGTGGCGTACACAGCTTTGGATTTTCACTGGCCTTTCGGCAGCTTCATGTGCAAACTTCATGGTACTGTAAGCTCCCTGAACATGTTTGCCAGTGTCTACATTCTGGTGGTGATCAGTGTGGACAGATGTGTGTCTGTGGTGTGGCCCGTCTGGGCCCAGAACCACCGAAATGTGCAGAAGGCGTCATTTGTGAGTCTGGGTGTTTGGATACTGGCTCTGATTCTCAGCACTCCATACTTCATCTTCAGGGACACTGGTTCCTCAATGTACGATGACAACATCATCAACTGCTTCAACAACTTTGCATTTTCTGATGACTATGAAACACCGTCTGTGAATCAGCTGCAACAATTTCGTCATCAGGCCATGATCATCAGCCACTTCTTCCTGGGATTTGTTGTCCCCTTCACTGTCATTGTCTCCTGCTATGCTGTGATAATCCATCGAATCAGAAGAAACCGCACCCTGGCCAGCCAGTCAAGTCGCCCTTTTAAGATCATCGCTGCAGTTATCACCACTTTTTTCCTGTGCTGGACTCCTTATCACATCATGGCTTTAATTGAGGCAGTGAAATACATGCCTAACCATGCGAGTGAAACATTAGACCATGTTATCGTTATTGGTACTCCTTTTGCAAAGAGTCTGGCCTTTCTCAACAGCTGCCTGAACCCACTGCTGTATGTCTTCATGGGCCGAGATTTCAAAGACAGAGTTCATAAATCCATCCTGAATGTTTTGGAGATTGCCTTCCAGGAGGACATGTCTCGCGCTAACACCTACAAAAAGTCTGCGGTCACCAGTCGAAGCAAGTCAGTGCATGATGCTGTGGTATAAGATTATCAATAAATAAACAAATACTGTACAATTGAATAGCACGTAATTTTCACACATATGTAATTGTCAATAACATGCATGTTTTAGGGGTGTGAGTACCTACGTGGTATGAGCTAACAGTGATCTTATGGTAGCAGTTGTACAGTTTTCATTAGTTAGTTTGCCATTATTCCTCAACCCTTAGACAACATACAGTAAAACCACAGGAAATGAATGGCCCACTTATTCTTTGTTGAATGTGCAAATCAATACTGTGATATGTGACATACTTGTCTATAAAACTTAATTCTAATGTCTTTGATTGGTTATGGTTTAGTATAATCATTCATTTAACATAATGTATCACTGATACATAGGCCACTGTGGACACAGAGCGAGGGATGTTTGTATGTATCACACACACAACTCATCTATAACACCTCAGGAGTATTTACGGACTTGCCGGTCACAATATGTACATTTTGTTAGTGTTAGATTTTCTTTTTATCATTAAAGCCTTTTTCCAGTATATTCACTGATCAGCAGAGGGACATGTTTTACATCCTAAAGTTCAAGTCAGAGAGGTTCTGCATTCACACTCAAGCAATGTATGGCTGAAATATCAGTTGTGTGTGCTCCAGTTTTCTCTCCTTGTTTTTAAAAATGTAATTTCCGGCGGTGCCGGTGAACACATTTTTCTGAGCATGTGGGGGGAGTGATTTTGCTAAGTGCCAGGCTCATAAAATACATGGTTTGCTTATACTGATATGTTTGTTACAAAATGTTATGAGTATTTGTAAATATACAGGTAAATTTTGTCTGTAGCACGTACAGCTCTTGATTGTAATGAACGCAGTTGGGTGGATGGGGCGATGGCGCAGCCGAAAGAAACATGACGCTCACCTTTTAGGACTATGAGTGGACATTTAACAGCGGTACGGTTGGAATCTGACAAATTACATGTCATGTTAATACTGTTATTTTTGATTTACCCTAGTTTATTGTTTATATTACTATGGTTTATTTGCTTTTATTTTATCTGTTAGTATAAGTCAGCCCTTACCTTTTTTATTATTATTCTGTATGGTTTTATTCAGGGAGCTTCTACTTCTTTTCTTTTTCCATCTGATGTTGTTTGGTGTTGTTGGAATATTTGTATTCCAATAAACTTTAAGTCATGAAAAAATGTAATTTCCAGAATAGATATACATTTTACACTCTTTATTCATGGAGAAAAGAAGAACATGAAAACATTTTGATCTTCACAGTGTAGAGTATGAGATGTATTTTTGGACTAATGGCCCTTCTTAAACACACTAAAGATAGCAGCTGCGCTTCAGGTGCTTTTCTGTATTTTCAGAGGAGATCTGAGTAAAGTGTGAAACAGGATGCTGACAGAAAGGAACATGCAGGTAACCTAGATGTGTGCAAAATTACAAAATAAATTCGAATAAATTGCTAGGAAAAGATATAGTCTTACTTTACATCTATTTTGTTTGCAGGCATTGATCTTGATATGCAGCATAGTTTATACCTCGAGTAAGCGTGAGCTCGACCAACAAAGAGAAGAATATATTATGGTAGACATGAGGACGTGTCGCTGCTTTCACAGTTTTATTGAACAATGAATTTCCAGACAACGAGGCATGACATCACAGATCCTGTATGTCTTTGTAACAAAGGAAAACATTTAAGAATTAATGTACAGAAGAAGTTCAATTAATAACTAATCACATTTTAGGCTAAATAACAGCCTAATTATAATTGCAAAAAGTAAAAAGTGGACTTTTTACTTTTTTGCAAGTTTCTGACACTTGCAACACGAGGAATTTGTTAGAGGAAGTATTAAAGAAAAAAAACTTATAAATGTGGGAGGCATGTTACACGTGATCCAGCCTCGTGACGTGACATATCTCTGCAGTCTTATAAACCTGTCAGATCTTGACCACAGCTAAAAGTGCTGCACATCCTCATTCCACTTAAGAACTTTACGAAAGGTAAGGAAAGCTGCTGTTGTTATGTGTTATGCTCTGAATTTGAATCTGTGCAAGATTAATTAAAATAATAAAATAAAACAGACAAATAAAGGCATCTAATGTTTGCTATAGTTACCCTCATAAACACAAAACTGAAATTTAATATCATTGGCACTCACTCTAATGATTAATAAAGTCAGCTGACAGGAAATTAGTTGCTTTTCTACATGAACAAAGAATGTTGAAGATCAGTTTGTCAGGGAAGCTGCTGTCAAACTGATAAATAAAGGCTGTATCTACAAATCACAGGCCTACAATATCATCGCATTTTCTTCCTTTATGTACATTGAATTTCCTTTTTCATTTCCAGAAGCATGTGCTATGAATGAATGAAAGATTTTTTTTTTTCGAACACATGCAAAAAAACAACAAAACAAACAAACAAAACTAACAAAATTAAATTAAAAACATGCAAAAATGACCTTAAAGCACCATAAGCAATAAACCTAAACAATGTGTTACATGTCCGAAAAGGAGCCGGAAGAAGTTTACACAATAGGCAATTAAGCTTTATGCAGAGAGTTGTTAAATGTGAAATGAAATGAACCAAAAATACACACATACATATGCATATAACTAATGCATATGATTCATGATGATTTCATGCATGGGCTAATAAGGGATGCATGCATCACGATCAGTGGCGTATCAGCCAAAAGCCACTGGAATATGTGAGGGAGATAATATCCACTTCCTCCTCCTTAACCTATCTACCTGAAAATGAAATGTTAACATGAAGTTACCGCCTAGGACTGAAATTGCTATAAGATTAGTTTAAGTCATGTATAGATCTTATCTATCTGTTACCATTGCAGGTCTCAGGACAACGATGGCGATGAACGCTACTGCTTTCAATCACTCCTATCACATCAATGCAACACATGTGTCTGGAAAAAATGTTCCTATGTCTTCAGACAACTATGCTGAGCTGAGAAAGTCTCTCAACATCATGTCTGTCATTGTTTACTCCCTGGCCTGTGTTCTTGGTGTGCTCGGGAATGGAGTAGTTATCTGGGTGACCGGATTCAAGATGAAGAAAACAGTTAACACAGTTTGGTTTCTCAACCTCGCTGTGGCCGACTTCCTCTTCACAGCATTTCTGCCTCTGAGTATTGCGTACACAGCTTTGAAATTTCACTGGGCTTTCGGCAAGTTCATGTGCAAACTGGGCGGCGGATTGAACTTACTGAACATCTTTGCCAGTGTCTACATTCTGGTGGTGATCAGTGTGGACAGATGTGTGTCTGTGGTGTGGCCCGTCTGGGCCCAGAACCATCGCAATGTACGCAAGGCGTCATTTGTGAGTCTGGGTGTTTGGATACTGGCTCTGATTCTCAGCGCTCCATACTTCATCTTCAGGGACACTCTGTCATTCAGGAATGGCGTCACTATCTGCATCTACAACTTTGCCCTCTCTGATGACTATAAAACACCATCTGTGAATCAGCTGCGACAGTTTCGTCATCAGGCTGTGATCATTACACGCTTCATCCTGGGATTTGTTGTCCCCTTCACTGTCATTGTCTTCTGTTATGCTGTGATAATCCATCGAATCAGAAGAAACCGCACCCTGGCCAGCCAGTCAAGTCGCCCCTTTAAGATCATCGCTGCAGTGATCATCACTTTTTTCCTGTGCTGGGCTCCCTATCACATCATGGCTTTAATTGAGATGGTCTATCCCAATCCTGCTTCTCGCACTGAAACAATGGTCTATGCCTTTACTGTCGGTACTCCCCTAGTAACCAACCTGGCTTTTATCAACAGTTGCCTGAACCCACTGCTGTATGTGTTCATGGGCCAAGATTACAAGGATAAGGTCTGCAAATCCATCCTGAGTGTATTTGAAAGGGCCTTCCAGGAAGACGTTTCTTGCTCTCACACTGATTCAAAGTCAATGGACACCAGGCAGAGCGCTGAGATGTCAGCTCTTAATACCGAAGTATAAGGCTGTCAGTGACAGCCTTGAAGAAACAAATACTGAAAATGAGCAAATGATCTTCACAAATGTGACAGAATATAAAAAACTTATTTTGTTATAGAATATATCAGACTGTAAATTACCTTACAGAACAGATTTTACTGAATATAGATTTTACACAGTCAAGCTGATAGCAAGTTCATTTGTACAGCATTGTCCCCACCTCAAGCTACCCAACGTCCTTTACCACCAGGATGTGAGCAACATGGTACCCCCCACAGAAACCACCTCTTGGCTGATCTGCACTTTTTTGGGGGGGTGAGGTTTTGTATTGTCATTTCCTCTTTTAGTCTTTATGGTAATTTTCCCACTGTATATCTCCCTTTGTATCTCATGGTGCACCCTGGGTGCTTTTATAAACATTTTATTGCATATTTTTTATTTTTACTCAAGGACAATCAAATGCAAGTCTAATAAATACTCACTCTAGCTGCTTTGAGCTTAATATATTCATAAAGCAGCAATCGCTTGTTGGCTTAGTCTGGTCTTTTGGTTTTTGTTTGGCCCTAACTGGGTCAAAACTGAAAAGTCGGTTATTGATGCTGTGGTATGAAGTTATCCATGACATGAATAAACAAATGCTGTAAATGTACATAGCAAATAATTTTCACACATGTGCCTGTAAATACCAGATATGTGTTAGTGGAGTAATACCTCTATTGTTACTGTGACCAATCCCATGGTAGTAGCTGTAAGGTTTTCATGACATTGCTACATGAGTTTACCATCATTCCTGACCTCTTAGACAGCATACAGTAACACCACAGGAAAGGAATTGCCCACCTTTTCGTTGAATGACTGTGGATATGAATATTGGGATATGTAACATGAAGTTATCTGTAAAAGCTTATTCTCATGTATTTTATTGTATTTCTATTTGAATTATGAATGATGATAATGATTGTCATTGTAGTTTTTCTTGCTCTCATTATTTTCCATCATTAAAATATGATTTAAACATGTCTGTTTCCCATCCATGACACCTGATCTGATAACACCTCAGGATAATTTATTCTAACTACCAAGTTGCCGATCACAGAATATACATGTTGTTATTGATCATCTGTCTTTCTTTATAATAATAACTGACCAGCAGAGAGACCTGTTTTACATCTCAAAGTGTATTTCAACTCAAAGGAAGTTCTCTATGCACCTTTAAGAAATGTGTGACTGACTTAGCTGCGTTATTCTTTCTGATGGTAAATGCTGCTGTGACTTTCTTGTAACATGATGCAGAGCAGTGACATTAAGGTAGTTACAATGGGCCCCAGTGCACCCTATTATGAAGGGCCCTTTTGCGCACTAGTTACAAGTTATTCACCTAAACTAGCTACCATATTTTCTTATCGTCTGGTCACATGATCAAATAGAGACTTGACAACTGATAAAGTCAACATACTGCACATATGACCCTGTAATCATGATCCCATATATGCAAATGACAAAAATATAGAAGAAAATAAGGAAGTATTCATTGAATTGAATAGTTTTATAGTTTATCTAATGTGAGTGAGCATTTATTTTATAACATATTTTGTTATATTCCTACTGACTATTTTACAAGACAAAAAACATAGAAAACATGATGGAGATAGATTTGCATCTCAGAGGTGTATCATCTTTAATTTAATGTGAGCTTTGCTTTGAGCACAGGCATATTTTTAAGGTGGCAATCTGAATTACTCACATGGGCCTGTTTTTCTGCTCAACATATTGTTGGAGGGCCCACACTCACTGGGCCCCCTCACCCCATGGGCCCCACTGCAACTGCCTTGCTTGCACTGTCTATATTTATGCTCCTGATGCAGGGTGGAGAGAGGGGACATTAAATGATGTAGCCTACATGTTCAGGTGTTAATTTAAACAGGAAACCAAATAATCACACTAACCTCAAGCAAACATGAACTCAACCCACAAAGGAAAAACCCATTATGCATCACTGGTAAACATGAGACGTCACCACTTTCCACTGCTCAGTTATTTATCTCAACAACTGACAGATTTCTCTTTTCCAAAATGCAGATGCCCTTTAATGTGGCATTTGGAGATGTGGTCTACTCAGATGAGCTTGTTTTAAATACTGGGGCACCACAGGGCTGTGTGCTGGCACCACTGCTGTTTTCCATTCATACAAATAAAATGACTGCCCACAGCAATAATGTCAAGCTGTTTAAATATGCAGATGATACTGCTCTGGTTGTTCCTCTCCTGGAAGATAATGCCATGTATGAAGAGACTCTCTTCAGCCAGGTCTCTGCTCCTCAGGACTGGTGTCATGTAAGTAAACTGGAGATGAATGCAGTCGAAACAAAAGAACTTATGATTCAAATAGAACCAGATGAAACCAGTCATATCCTCCCTGTCATACTCAAAAATCAGCCTGTAGACAAAGTGGAACAATTTAAGTGCTTGGGCACAATTATTGATTAGACATTAAATTTTAATGGAAACTCAACTGGTGCCTGTTTTTAATCAGGAAGCTGGGGAGCTTCAGTGTTAGCCAGCACATACTTGAAATAGCATACAGAAGTCTGGTTAGCATTGTATTGTTAAACATTACAGCATGGTACAGCAACCTGAGTGCAAGGAGCAAAAACAAGCACTCCACTGTCGACATAAACACCTTTATTCCCTGCCATACAGGCAATGAACACAGAATGACTGTACTCTATCTATCTATCTATCTATCTATCTATCTATCTATCTATGAATCTATCTATCTATCTATCTATCTATCTATCTATCTATGAATCTATCCATCTTAGCACGCTTCTACGTTTAAAGACTCGGTTGCCATTTTATTGGTAGCCTATATTCAAATTTTGGGGCAATGAATAAATAAGATGAATCTTTATTGGTCATCAGGAGGGAAATTTAGCAAACTGAATAACAATATAAAGTATTAAATATTTCAGCCACTGTGGAGAAGTTTTTATACACAGCAAAACAGCATTTAGTCCTTCATGTTGCAAAATAAAATGTACAGAACAGTTAACCAAATGAAATAAAATAAATCAAATATGAAATAAAAGTGTTAAGATTTTATATTAATAGTCCTGTGTGTGCTTCTGATTAAAGCTGAGATGTATTCTATAGGCTATATAGATAGTTTATAAACCCACAGTCTAAACGAGGTCCTCCTTATTTATATTTTAAATGCTTTAGCAACAAATTCCCAAATAACATGGCATGACTTTAAAGATAAAAGACAGTTTAAATATTAAATTGATTAAGTTTATAATAATATTGTAGATAAAGTGATTTTAAAAGGTAAAAATTGAACTTCAGTTGAAGTTTATGATCAAACTCGTTGATTTGATTGTTTCAGCTGTTTTGTAGATTTTTATTTCAACGTTTCTGAAACTTGCAGCACAGTTTGTACTTGTTATAAAAGGCATTAAAAGAGGAACATTAAACGTGTTGGAGGTTTTCAGTGAGCTGCTGCGTGCGGCATATTGTTATGCCTCGATGGGACGGTGACGTCACCTACAGTACATCAGGAGTCTCACAGGTGCACGCGGCTCTCAGTCACCTGTCAGAGCCTGAGGGTTACTGTGCTACATCTTTATCTGGCTGACCAACTCTGAGAAGGGTACTGTTGCTCTATGTTATCCTTTCAGTTTGCACCAGATGAATCCGATGAGACTGTATAAGAAGAGAATAACACAATAAACTGGTGATTATAATAACTATCATTATTGTTATTACAATTTTATATTTTATTTTAAACTTTGTTTTTAGCTGATGAGTGAGAGGCTATCACTGTACAACGGCTCTGGTTTCCTGGTTCTGATGTGTTTGCGGTGCAAACACAGACTGTGTGTGTTACTGGGTTAGCTGCTGAGGGGCTGATGCTGCAGAGTGACTCATTCTTCAGTTTGGGTTGTTTGTGTGCTTTGTGCTACTGATTTAGCTGCTAACGAGAGTCTGACACTTCACAGCAGCTTGTTCTCTAGCTCAGGGGTCAAATATGTTACTGTGCTGCAGGCTTAGCTCCTAACAAGAGTCTGTGGCTTAACAGAGATCTTCAGGTCAGCTCCAGCTGCAAGAAATTAAACGATTTTGAAACCTAATATTATATTCTAAGCGTTTTTTTTCCAATTATTAAAAATCAGCTTGGTGGTTAATAACACATTTTTCTGTGGTGTGACTTTAATTTCCTGCATTCTTGTGTGAATTTTTAGGCATCAATTTGTCTTATATTTAAATGTCTTTAATTAAATGTCTTTAATTTTGTCAAAATAAAACCTACACCTATGTTAACATGAAGTTACCACTTGGGACTGAACTTGCTGTAAGGTCAAAAAGCTGAATTCACATCTCTGCAGCATCTTTTTTAAACAAGCTAAAATACACAGTTTTAAGTGTGTAGTCATTGTTGTTGTTGTTTTTGTTGTTGTTGTTGTTGTTGTTGTTGACCTGTTGTTGTTCACCTTCTCTGGCAGGTCTCAAGACAAAGATGGAGAATGTTAATACAACAGATACATATGGGTCTTGGCATTATTATGATTACAGTGACTATATAATATTTGACACACATGCTGAGCTGAGATGGTCTGTCAGAATTATGTTTCTCATTGTTTACACCCTGGCCTTTGTTCTTGGTGTGCTCGGGAATGGAGTGGTTATCTGGGTGACCGGGTTCAAGATGAAGAAAACAGTTCACACAGTTTGGTTCCTCAACCTCGCTGTGGCCGACTTCCTCTTCACAGGATTTCTGCCCCTGAATGCGGCGTACCTGGCTTTGGATTTTCACTGGCCTTTTGGCGAGTTCATGTGCAAACTGAGCAGCACGTTAATCTCCCTGAACATGTTTGCCAGTGTCTACATTCTGATGATGATCAGTGTGGACAGATGTGTGTCTGTATTGTGGCCAGTCTGGGCCCAGAACCACAGAAGTGTGCAGAAGGCATCTTATGTGAGTCTGAGTGTGTGGATACTGGCTCTGATTCTCAGCTCTCGAATTTTCATCTTCAACTGCACTGGGTCATCATATCTCCATGATGACAGCATCACCAGCCGCAAACACTTTGCCCTCTATAATTACTATACAACACCTTCTGTGAATCAGCTGCAGGCGATGACCATCACCTTCCTCCTGGCCATTTTCAGGAGTTGCCTGAACCCACTGCTGTATGTGCTTGTCGGCCAAGATTGTAAGAAAAGGGTCTGTAAATCCATCCTGAGTGCAATGGAGACAGCCTTCCAGGAAGATGTTTCTGACTCTCACACTGAGTCAGTGGACACCAGGCAGAGCACTGAGATGTCAGCTCTTAATACTGACGTATAAGGCTGTCAGTGACACGAAGAAACAAATAAACGGTCCAAGTGACTTTCACAAATATAACTGAATGTAAAATATTTTCTTTTAGTTTTTCTTCTTCTTTTTTTTTAATACATTTTCTCCTTCATATTATCTGAGATTGAAACATTTCAACCTGAGACAGTTTGACTGATGTGAACTGATGTTTTAATCTAAATGGAGGATTTCATGAATGGCTACGTGTCTGTATTTAATCCTGTAAAGCAAATGCTACTCTAGATCTATGTGGTCTGGAGTCTTAGACTAAGAAGATATTTAAAATGACATTTTCAAAGAGAACCCAGCAATAATTTTAAAACAGGTGTGACATTACATGGTTTAATATGTGCAACACAAGCAACAAAAAATTAAATGGTTGTCAAAGAGAACTTTTAATCTGTCACGTACACAACAAATTTCGATATTTTTTTTTCCTTCTTGTATGTGACTGCTGAGAAAAGAGAATCTACAGTGTGAAATATTATTTCTGAACCACTGCACAAACAGGCTGGTAGTATGTTCGTTTTGTACCGCATCGTCCCCACCTCAGCCCAACTTCCTCTATCAAGATGTGAGAAAGCTTGGGTACATGACAGTCCGCACAGAAACCGTGATCGAGCTGCTTGGTTGTGCAGCTGTAATTTTAACACAGTAAATCCCCCTGAGGTGTTTATTTCTCATGGTGAACTGAGTACCTGGATGCCACTGATTCACATTGATCTACGCAACATGTGGCAGCACCATAGAAACTAATTCAACTGTTTGCTACTGATGGACTAGGGGCTCATCCTACTCTCCAATGTGCTATGTGTGAGCTCAGTCCTGCATGTTCTTTAATGAAGCAATAGGAGAAGATATTCGGTCTCAGTTAATGTAGTTTATTAAGCAGTAAAGGAATAAAATTACAGAGCTCTGGGTCTGAACTTCACGTCCCTGACGAACAACAAAGGTGTGTCAGTTCACGAAGTCTGACCTCCTGTCCTTTCCCTGACCCAGTATATTTGAGCATAACAGCGTTGTCCTCTTCTCATTGGCAGTTCCACTTCCTCCTTCACCACACCACGCCCCTGCCTCGTGTTAATCTGACTCCTTCCCGCTGGCGGTGGGGGCGTGGTTCCTGTTTTGAAAGACAAGAGAACAACACAACTCCCTACACGTGCTGTACCTTACTATCTGTACATCACTTTCTATTCTTTTTACCATATATGAAACTAATTATCTAAGCATTGCGGTATGTGCTCCTCAGACTTCATGTCTCTTCCTCTCCTGTACTTCTCCACTTCTGCAAAGCAAACACATTCAGATCAGCTGAAATCATCTCAGTATTCTCATTGTTCACACATCTAAAACTTATATAGTGAAACACAACTTA